ACACATATATATGTGTTTATGTGTGTGTGGGTGTGTGTGTGTAATGAGATCTAATGTTTTCCATGCATGCAAAAACAATAGTGATGGTTTACTGTGAAATCACCTCTCTATGGTATTTAGTCATTTGTTTTTTTGTTTATTTTAATCTATAAAGTAAACTGTTAAAAATGTGGACGCTGTGGTGATTCACCATTAAGTTGCATTCGCTGAGTCATGCAAATGTAAATTAAAAGCTTTTACGATCTTTATCATTTATGGTTGTCAATTGTTTATAATTTTTCATTACATGTATGCCCATAGCCTTTATTTCCAAATCACTTTTTTGGTAAATGTACAAGTTAATAATAATAATAATAATAATAATAATAATAATAATAATAATAATAATAATAATAATAATAATAATAATAATAATAATAAAAGTATTGTCCTGACAATGTGAATACTCTTCTTTTTTTTAACCATCTTTACATAAAAAAAAGATGAGCATGTGGAACATAATGCAAGATGTATTTATTGTTGAATTATTGTTGAAACCTGCCCCCCAAAAATCTAAGTTTTACTTAATTTATCATGCACAAGGGATAACATAATCTCCCAGGAGGGCAATATAGATTTCACCTATTAAGCTTTAAAGACAAATAGTATAAACTCCAGTAAATGCAAACTGGTCTCTGACATGAGTGTAATTCAAATATAATACTTTTACCATATTCGAACAGTATTATTGTTTTTGTAGGGTAACTGACTGTTTAGCAAATTCAGACAGCCTAATTTGCCCCCTGAAAACAAACAAACGGATAAAACTACCAGCCAGGATTTCATTCTAGAAAGTAATGAAATATAAATCAGAAATGTAAGTTTTGATTTATATTTGATCAAGCTAAGACTATCGTGACCGGTATTTAAAAGGTATGTTTAATTAAACATTTTGTCCTCTAGGGGGCGGTGTCTTGAAATCATTGCATACTTTCTAAATGTATTTGATCACATTTTGAAGATCGATTAAAATGTAAAATATTTTTTTCCGTGCACTTCTGATTTTTATATTCTCTTTGTTTATTTTTTTCCTTACCCTTAACTTATTTAGGTCGGGGGGAGTTTTATGACAATCTCATCTTTAAAATGGATTGGATTCACTTCCCATAATGCACCGCCGTTTCTTTTTACTTCCTCTTTCCGCCATATTGCAGAACCGGTAAGATGTCTTTTTACGCTCTCAGTCACAATCCTTAAAGAATCTAAGTCATCTGCCTTATATGTATTCACAAAATCCTCCCTTTTTATCAAGAAAGCACACAGAAGTAATTTCTGGCCATTATCGTCAACGTTAACTAATCCATTGTCGGACATTTATCTAGTCAAAATGCCTCTCCGGTTCGGCCCTGGGACTGTGCGTTCAACCCGTCTAAATAGTCACTTGTGTTCCTATTAGTCTTGTAGTAATTATTTTGTGAAGAAAAAGCGTTTAAACCCATCGTAAATGTTGCTTTTTGACACGCTTCATATTTTCTTTGGACTTGTAGCAAAGCTATGGGGTGGGAATGCCTGTCGGTAAGCGAAGGAGGCTAAAGTAGTTAGCATGTTGAAGCTTATAGTGGACCATGCTTTGAAGCAGGCGCATACCCGACGTTTTTGCCTGTATATTATGTGTTTGACGAACAAATTCTAATTAAATAGTGTAAAGACGCTTAGAGTTCGTTTTTTTTGGCTGGACTTGGGCAACCTAAGAGCTAAGGTTGTCTTGTTGACCTGCGTTATGGCTACATTCAACTTAAAATGTTTCTTGTCTGTGTTTGCAGGCACCATGGTGCGCATGAACGTTCTGGCTGATGCTCTGAAAAGCATCAACAATGCCGAGAAGCGTGGGAAACGCCAGGTCCTCATCAGGCCCTGCTCCAAGGTTATTGTGCGCTTTCTAACCGTCATGATGAAGCACGGTAAGCGGCGAGCAGGAGTTGGAGAATGGATGTGCTCAAAGAGAAAGGAATGGTGGAGACTGGAGTGCTATGAATTGTTTTCTCTAATGTCCAGGTTACATTGGTGAGTTTGAGATCATCGATGACCACAGAGCCGGGAAAATCGTTGTTAATCTCACAGGCAGGCTGAACAAGGTACATGTATATCCTAAAAGGTTATGGCATATTCACAACTATGTTATCAATGTTTAATATGTTAAGAAAAATACCTCTAAATTGTCACGTGTTCATATTTGTGAACAATATATTGGTCTATTTTAACTCTGCTCTAGTGTATCACTTCTTTGTATTGCAGGGATAAAAGTAAAAAACTTTTTTTTCCTCTTCTATTTTAGTGTGGTGTGATTAGTCCACGTTTTGATCTTCAGCTCAAGGATCTGGAGAAGTGGCAGAACAACCTGCTGCCTTCAAGACAGTTCGGGTGAGAATCATTTTCAGTACATCATTTTCAGCAGTGTTATCTGTAATGGCTGGACGCTACACTTAATCTGGTCCCCACCAAGTTAAAATTTAGGCTTCTATACTGTATTCGTCTGTGTTCAGCACTTCAGCTGGTTACACTGAAAGTTGTCGGAATTGCACTGAAATTAGCATGATGCACGCTTTTAAAAACTTTATATATAAAAAAAACTACCTCTTTATTTGCACACATATGTAAGAAAACCTAAACAAGCGTACCGCTCTGCCAGCAGCCAGCCTGCTTAAAAGGTGCTGGTGAGGTGTCCAGGTTTCAAAGGGGTGGTCTGAAAGATATTATTTTTGTTTTGTTTCCCCCAGTAAAATGCAGCATTACTGTGGGTGGATCAGAGCAATGTCTCTGGGTCTGTTTGGCACATAAATCAGTTAAGTGCAATTTAATGGTCGGTAGAAACATCACATCTAACATAGAGAAAGGTTTAAAGAAAAGGTGTGGGCTTACTTTGCAAAGACACACAAAAAGCCTATATGCATGAGTGTCATACTAAAAATAAAAAAAAAGTTCTGAACTCTTAAAAAAAAAACAAAAAAAAACAATGGGCCTTTTTAAAGTCGGGTTCTGACAATGTTCCCTGTTAGGTTTAGTTTTTATGATGTGCAGACCGGTTTCTGTTTTGGGCTCTTGAGCTTTGGGTGCTGGATAGACTGATGGATAGACTGATGGAAGCTCTTGCAGCTATCTTGAGACAGTAATTTTAGAACGATTGCTGATTTCACTTTAAAATCGAAACTTGCCAAAAAAAAAATGGGTTTTTATGTTCCCGTGGGGGGAAATGCATTGTCTTTAGAGGGAGCTGGAAACTTCCCACATATAGTGACCAAGTTGCTAATTTGGCAAGACTGGGCTGTAGTCTCCAGTTTTCCTTCTCTACAGACAGCAGTACAGCGGCAGCGTAGCCACCAGTTAGCTTCATAAACTAGCCGGCTTTGCAGCAAGACTGGACCCAAATGTGTTTGGTATTTCAAAATAAAGTGAATAGTCACACTAAATTTGAAGACAATTTAAACTTTTATTAGAAGAAGTGTGCAAATATACAGCATACTTGTTTGAGTTTGTAATGTAACAAAATTTGGAATAAATAAAGACTATTTTATTTTTCTTTTGAACCTTAGATATCGTCTCAAGTTTGTGGGGTTTATGCCTCACTCAGCTTAATTTGGTGCCTTTTTTTTTTTTTACTTGGCCAGCAAACTATTAAAATCTCTGCGATATGACTGTCATGGTTAAATGTGTACAATTTAAAAATTTATACTTTGGCATCCCAAACCTGGACACAACACAGGGCTCTGTGGGATTATTTTATTTTTTTCTAGTTCCTTAAATAGATCTGATTTTCTGTCGAAAATAAAAATAAATGTAAATCCCTTTATTGTCCCACAATGGTGGAAATTCATTCTCTGCATGTAACCCATCCCCTAGGGGGGCAGTGCTGCCATTGTGTGGCGCCCGGCGAGCAATCAAAGGTTAACGTTAAGTCTTAATTTATATATTGCATACAGGATTAGATTTCCTGCTTAGATTTGTTAGGATGGGTTGAGAAAAAAGCAGAGTAATAGATGAATAGAATAAATGCCGCCTAACGTTTCCAGACAGATTAAACCAAAGGAAGCCTGAAGTAGTCCTAAAAACCATCTGTGATATGTATAGATTTAATTTACAATTTGATCATGTGGTTGGCAGGAGTAATAATTTCTACTTGCATGTAATTCATTGGTTTATAGACAGTTTTGGCAATGCATGTAATCCTATAATACACTGCATTAACTCCTTAGTTCCTACTACCAGGCCCCAGGTCATTTTGAAGTCAGTTTGTTCTGCATCGAACTGCTAGCTTATCTGTAAACAGAACCTGTCATGTTGTACGTCCTTACAATTGTGCGGTTCTAAAGAACATGGCCATCAACTCGATTTTAATCCAACTCTACTCCACAAACACCAGTAACTAATAATCTGTCATCAAATTACAACTTGCAATGTTTACTTCTTGGGTTGTTTTCGTCTTCTGGTATTCAAAAAACATGTTCTATCCTGGCATAAATTCTTATTTTGTAACATTTAACATGTAACATCTAACAGAAAACTAATATCCTTTTTTATTTTCCATAAAATAAAATGTCTTAATAGCCCACCAAATCTTTTTTTTTTTTTTGTCCATAGAAGAGCAAAAATGTAAGGGAAAAAAGCAAATTTTTATGTGTCTGACATATATCCTATATTTTAATTATCTATGGTACTTGAGCTTATTCACTAATCTGTTTGCTCCAAAATCAAGCATAAGTTCCTTTTCAGTATCCAGAATACGCAACGCCCTCCCCGGGCGCACGTAGTCTTTGTGTAGCTGGATCTCCACAAATCATTGCCCGATCAAGCTTTGACATATTTTGTTAGCCAGTAAGGTATTGGAAGTGTAGGGATGTGCGAAAAGAAAGTGCTTAGTTAAGGCAGAGGAGAAATGATTAAGTTCACACAGAAAATGCATAGCCAAAATTTGAAACCTAACAATGCTGTAGTGAAAGCTACTTTTACAAATCTGTGTTTTATGCTAAAGTTAGGCATGACATTCAAATCATCCAGTTTGATTCTTTTGGTTCCAATTTGGATCAGTTGTCCTGAATGGAGTATTTCTATACTGCTTTTTATTTATTTTTTATTTTATTATTTTCATTTGATTTCCACGATGTAAACTAGTGTAGTGAGTTTAGGAGGTCAACGATTAATTATACCCAAGATATAGAATATAAAAATAGCATTTTTATTTAAAAAAAATTTTTGTTATTGTTTGGAGTTGCATTGGTGAGGTTGTTACACTTAGTTTGTACACATATCCTGAAACTAGAAGATCTTGGCTTTCAAATTAGATGCATCACCAGCATATGGGATTTATATAATTTTACTGGCCATTGGCATTTGGGTACTTTGTTCATTTGTGCACAAGCAATAAAAATGTGGGAGCTTAGGGGTTAACATGTGATTCATAATCACTGATGCTACAATATCTTCCATAGTAGGCCAAAATGGTATAGTTCACTCTGCATTTGATCGTCACATTCATGGATTATCTTTGAAATATCTGACTTGTTCTTTGAAAATCTCAAACTTCAGCAACCAACTAAACATTGACCTCAGAGTTTAAATGCACTGCAAAACTGTACAATGAATACTATGTGCATTTAGTATGTAAAAGTATTTCTGTTTTTGTAAATATGGTTTGTCCATAATCTTTTACTTTACTTGGCTTTAGGTGTTTCATTGCATTGCTGTTGCATCATCAGTCCCTTAAAAGATTTTGCTTTTTTTTCTTTTATGTGCATCTGCTGTGGTGTTCAAGAATATGCAGAGCAGGGTGATTAGACTTTTGGTCAGTTTCATCTGTAATGTTAGAAAAGCTGAACTGTTAGCAGAGAACATGCTGTTGGAAAATGTTTTATCAAGGATTTGTTGGGAATCTTAAACCCTGGAGGTCTTAATTTTACACCTGATTATTTTGCAGCCCAAATATATAAAAATGTTAAGAGAGTCAAAAGAAGCCCCCAGGATTCAGGGTTTTTTCCTGCTCAGGCTTATAGGGCTCATATCTAGACTTGATGCATCAAAAACCGTGTAACTATTATGTCACTGCTTAAAACAACCATTAATCTATAACTACACAAAGTCTAAGGCACTAAAATGTCACTAATGAAAGCTGTAGCTTGATGCCAATGTCACTAAAGAATGGCTCTCCTCCCAGATATCTTTTCCATGTATTTTACACCTCTGTTCCTATTCCCTTTTGCTGTTTAATATACTATACAACTCAATTTTAGATATACAGAGACTAAATGGAAATAAAATAAATATAAAAAATCAAAGTGCTATCATTTAAACTTTGAGTTTAGGTTAAACTTGTCCTGCGCTTAATTTACTAGGACCTGTTAAAATTCTCATCACAACCCAAATCTATATTTTTGAAGGAAACGTTAATCGAAGGTCTGGTGTCAAATTCTGAAAATCTGCCTTTTAAATAGAATGTCGTCAGAGTTCTGTATTTTGAAGCAGAGCCGAAATCTAACTGAAAAGGTGTAGAAATCATTAAATACATTTATAGTGACCCTCTTCTGTTGGCATTAATAGGAAATAAAAAAGGTGAAGATCATAAATCTTGTTTCTTTGCATTTGTGCAGAAAGGTTTTTGTTGGTTTTCTGCTCATTGATTACTTTTTTTTTTTCCTTGCCAAATTGGAGGATCCATTTAATGTTGCATTTTAGAGCCACCATAATTTTGTTAAAAGCTTAAGTTACTTGAGGCATATTACGGCTCTACTACTAATTTAAACTTTGAATATTCAGATCTATCTCCATGTTTTCATGCTAAAGTATGTTGTGTGTTGTAGCCCACAACCTGTTTGAAGTGTTGATTAATTCTGGCTTTCTTCTTGACAGATACATTGTGCTGACCACCTCAGCTGGCATCATGGACCACGAAGAGGCCAGACGGAAACACACAGGAGGCAAAATCCTTGGATTCTTTTTCTAAAATGTAAAGAACTGCAAATAAAAACCGCCAGGAGAAAGCTGGTTGTCTGTTGTGCCTTATTTCAGTGTCAGCATGTACTAAGAGCATTTTATGTGAGAAAACCTTGCAGAGGCATCTATTATCAGCAACTGATAGTGAAGTCACTGAAATGGTTAAAATCAAAAAGCCCTAGGTGCAAGTTGTTGATCAGCCTGTTTTAGTGGATGTTGACTAAAGCCAGAAACTAAAAACAGGACCTTTTCTATAAAGTAGCTGAATTTGGACTGGGCTCAACATCCCTAGAGTGTACCACCAAAAACACAATGTCAGCATGTAAACCAAACATCTGTTTTTCTAGCCCCCTCCCCCCAGTGACTGCTAAAAGCTGTTGCCTCTTTCCTATTCCGTTAATCGCTTGTTAAAAAAAAAGTCTTTGCTTTTTCTGCTCTGCAATCATCTTACCGCTGTGACCTTTTCTGCAGTCCTGGGTGTATTCTGTGTTTTCCCCAACCTCTTGTCGTTCAGTTACTGACCTTGCATTAGGCTGAGACGGGGAGCAGTAACGGTGTGCTAATGTAATAGTTCTGTCCAAACGCTGTGGTGCTAAAAGCTCACAGACAGATGGCCTCCCTCATGGGTTTACAGCACTTAAGAGCTGCCCTGTAAAGGTAAAAACATCTTGTATGCTTCTCCTGGTTGGTAAACGTTTTGGATAATAAGCCCAGACTAATTCAAGCCATCAGAGAGGCGAAGAGATGAGTGTACATTCTTGTTCTGGTGAATATTGGCTGTAGGCAGTTGTACAGACACAAATATAACTGCTGGATTGAGGTTTGCCATCTGGGGTTAAACAATTTTCTAATGTTAATATTTTGATTAGAAGCTTAAAAAGGAAAGCCCCTCATGGAAAATCCAGGCTTGATTAACTCCTCCCTGCAGGGAGCTTAACTCAAACATGGCACCTAAAAGTTGAAGGTAAAGCGGAAGAACTTTCGGGCCATAAATTTTGGTGTCACTGAAATAAATGGTTCCACCTAATTAAAAGGGATTTATGTTCTGGTTTTGTTTTATAGAGAAATTGCAAGTTTATAACGATGTGAACCTATTTTAGTTGTGTTAAATCAAACGCTGCCTCACGAGTCGGATTATTTAATCCATAAACAAGAATTAAATTAAGCCTTTTGTCTTGTGCAGATGTTTCAGCATGCAGAAAGGGGATATTGCCATTACATTTAGTCCAATACTTTCACCTCAAAATGAAATTTTTAGTTTGCATTAAAGTCCATAGTCCAGTCATAGATTTACATCCAATTAAATTCAGTTGAAATGGTTCCATATGAGAACTACACATAGAAGCAAGCAAGCATACTTTCTATGAAAAGGGAAAATGGTACTTGAAACTAAAGACTGCAAGTAGTGGACAAATGAAATGTAGAAGAATGAAAGGGATTAAAGGTAAGAATCCTTTACTAAGCTGAGGTTTACCAAAACAAGGTAAATGCACAGTATATCATGCTGGATAAAAAACAGCTAACCTGTGACAAAATTTGACAAAACCTGAAGTGAAACTACTAAGATGATGGATTAGTGTGCACCCTATCAGTAACCTGCCTTACTCAGTTCATCAGAGCTCAACTCCCCTTTAAGCTCTTGTTTTAAAAAAAAAAAAATCACTAATCCACTATCAATGTGATAGTGGATTTTATACTGGTGTACAGTGGGGCAAAAAACTATTTAGTTAGCCACCAATAGTGCAAGTTCTCCCACTCAAAAAGATGAGAGAGGCCGGTAATTTCCATCATAGATATACCTCAACTATGAGAGGCAAAATGAGAAATAAAATCCAGGAAATCACATTGTCTGATTTTTAAAGAATTTATTTGCCAAATATGGTGGAAAATAAGTATTTGGTCAGTTACAGTTCTGGCTCTCACAGACCTGTAACTTCTTCTGTAAGAGTCTCCTCTGTCCTCCACTCGTTACCTTCAATAATGGCACCTGTTTGAACCCGTTATCAGTATAAAAGACACCTGTCCATAATCACTGCTCTAGAGGAGATCTGCATGGAGGAATGGGCCAAAATACCAGCAACAGTATGTGAAAACCTTGTGAAGACTTACAGAAAACGTTTGATCTCTGTCATTGCCAACAAAGGATATATAACAAAGTATTGAGATGAACTTTTGTTATTGACCAAATACTTATTTTCCACCATATTTTGCAAATAAATTCTTTAAAAATCAGACAATATCATTTTCTGGATTTTTTTTTTCTCATTTTGTCTCTCATAGTTGAGGTATATCTATGATGAAAATTACCGGCCTCTCTCATCTTTTTAAGTGGCAGAACTTGCACTATTGGTGGCTGACTAAATACTTTTTTGCCCCACTGTATATTCTACCAAAAGTCTCAGGTTTGAAACTGCTGATTGGAGTCGAAACTGAGTCTGAAAATAATTAGGTTTCTTTTGGACCAGTGTGGTGGAAGGAAGGATCTACTATAATGCTCCTCAATACACCTAGATTGCAAGAAGATTTCACTGTAGACGCTCCAGCCAATAGTACCAGACTGCAGTCCAGCAGTGGTGTTGTTTATGTTGTTTATCTTAAGCAGGGGTCACCAAAGTGGTGCCTTCAGGGTCTTCTGAAAACAGAACTACTCACCAGTGTGCTAAGTTTGAATTTTTACTTGATTCTGTAGCTCTTAATTTTTTATTCATTTATAGAGCATTTCATCATATTAATCATAAAGAACATTTAAGCATTTGTAGAGATTTTAAATGGATAATATCTGAAAGAAATTTTAAAATAAAATTGTTTATGTATGAAGTTTAGGTGAATGCTGACCCCTCCAGTCCAAGGTCAGCATCGGTAGCCCTTCTTATAACTCAGTACCCATGAAACAGCCCTCAGCCTTAAAAAGATTGATGAGCCCTAATCTAAATCCTCCTCCTCCCAGAGGTAGATAAACTGCTCCAACGAATGGCACCATAGAAATTGGTTAATGCCACCAGAGTGAAGGTCCCCATTTCCGTTGTGCACCCTGTCAAAGGATTTTTTCTTAAGCCGGTAGTTGCTCTAGCCTTTTCAGTAAGGATAATCAAGTAGTCACTCCAAATTTGTTGTTCAGGTGAACACAAGGGTACTTATAGGAGTCCACTGTCTTATGTTCAGTTCCTTGGTTGTCATACTCAGTGTCAGTGAGGTGACTCTGTGTTTAAGGAAGTTCACCAGCATCTCCTTAGTTTTCCTGATCAGGAGGTGGTTCTGCTTGCACCAGTCTACAAATCTATTGACTTGAATATGGTAGTGTCTTCTGACAACCTCTGAAGATGGTGGCCTGGTGAGTCGATAGAGATGTCTTCAGTTTAAAGCATAAACCAAAACCCTATCTGCTTGGTTCCCTTAGACACAACTATTGTTCAAGACATTTAACATGATTATTTAGTAATTAAATGTCAGAAATTTGGGGAAAAAAGCTGCAAAAAATATCTAGAAAATTTTATAGAAATATGGAAGCCTGATCTATTGAAAGAATACCCAGTAATACGTTTCTGCTGCAGACAGAAGACAACATGTCAGTGTGCATCTGGAGACTTGCATCCACAGCGTCCTGCAAGTCTTCATCTCTCTTCACCATTTGTCAGCTTAGATGGCCCTGAAGGGTTCAGAGCTCTGCTGCTAAAGAGACAAAGTAGAGCTCTCCAAATTAGACTTAGACCACTTTTATTGTCATTTTGTATACATAGTACCTGTATATACAAAATTAAATTTTGTTATATACAGATTCAGACAGTGAATGAACAACAGCTTGGAAGTGAAATTAACATTTCCGTTTCATAAAGGGCAGCAGGGATCGAATGTAAACAGCATGGGAGAAAAACATGGTGCATTGTTATGGAAGATCAGATCAGTGAAAGACAATTATATATGGTGCAAAAATGCAGTAGAAAAAGTTGGGTTGAGTACTTTTTGGGTTGGTGTCATGAAGAGCCTGGCTTGATTTAGAGTTTTTTTTATAACAGATCAGCAGTCTGATGGCAGTGGGGAAAAGGCTGTTGCAGAATCAGCTGGACCTGCATCGGATGCTTCAAAGCCTCTTCCCAGAGGGCAGCAGGGAGAACAGTCCATGGTGGAGGTGTGAGGGGTCATTTATGATGTTACAGGCTTGGGACTGATCTCTTTATTCTTCTCCACATTCAGGATCAGGTTATCTCTGCACCACTCCACGAGATGCTCCACCTCCTCTCTGTAGTCCTGGTCGTTGTCGTCTCTGATGAGGCCCACCACCGTTGTGTCGTCTGCAAACTTCACGATGTGATTGCTAGTGAACCTAGGGACTCAGTCGTGTGTCATCAGAAATCAAATCGAGTACATTAATACTGAAGTCACAATATTGCTGCTGCCCAGTTTTAATAGAAAGAGGTGAAAGGGTGAAAACAGGTTTACAACCTCATGAGGTGTTGGCAGTTCTGGAGGAAAGGGTTTGCCCTTTAACTGCTGGGTTGCAGGTTTGAGCCCCAGCACTATCACACCTGTTTTTTTCCTTGGGCCTGATGCTTCGCCGAGTGATGAGGCCTGTTGCATGGCAGTATTGCCTCTTTCTGCCTGCAGCAGGGCAATATCGCTCACAACCATTGCCCTGTGAATGAATTTATTGGGGTCTTTGGACTAGGTATGCAGAGCTTAAGTGTGGACAACTTGACATTATTCAAGAACCTTTTTGTCAGTGATTATTTTTTTCTAGCATGCTCTTATGGGAAGGGCAGGGCTGCAGAAAACATTCACCTCGAGTTAGCTTTGGTCCAAAATTGTAGAAGTTTAAAACATAAAAAAAATGTAAGTGTGCAAAACTTTTTTGCGGTGCTTAAATATATACCATTGGCACCAAAGTGATCTAAACACCTCTGACTGGAGGTAATATTAATCTTTGCTGCTAAAACGATTTTCAAATCTGTTATTCTAAAGATTAGGTTGATGACAAACAGACTCTTCAACTTGGAAGACTCATCACCGAAAGTAAATGACCAAAATACAAGTAGAAACATGCAATAAGCTAC